AATTCAGATGCGCTCAATAGTTTTCTTTCCTGTCTTCTTTTCAAGTTTTTTGCTCTCAAATACCCGCATTAAGTCATTAGATTCCATACTACTAGTTAATCGTTATAATCTATATTTTGGTTAATCGTTATAATCATCAAGGTAACTCAATATAAGCATTGCAGCGGCAGAATGCAACATATACAACTTATTTGTTCTTGAAAGTTTTCTCAAGCACTTATTCTATAAACTACTGCACTCTAGAAATCAATACACTCACAAAAAGTTGCAGTTGAAGGGTAACACCCATTTATTCAGCAGTAAAGCAATCGTGCTCTCTTCTGGTTACAATAACGATTACGATAGCATTAAGAAGAAGAAGAAGAATGAAGAGAAATCATTGCTCTGTTAATCTTCTTCCCCGCGCTGTTGTCCAACTTGTTAGTTAATTTAAACTGATATTTAATTTTTTTAACTGATTAGCTTTTAATTTAAACGTGGTTTCTATTTTAAATTGGTATTAATTTATTACTTCGAATTTATTGATTGTTTTCATGATTTTTAAGCTAAGGATTTAATTGATACAATTTCTAATTGTTTTACTTAAATTGGTAATTGATAATGATTAATTCTTTTTAAAACTTTCAAGGAGGAAAACTTATTATATTTAATTTCCTTTTTTAAAACTTAATTCTTAAATTAAGTTTCGTTCGATTTATTCTTTTAAATTAATTTTTGTTTGATTAGTTTGGTAAAAGAGGTTATTCCTCGTAATGTTTACTAATTTTAAATTGAGATTTTTATGCTACGCTTAATAATGTTTAAGCTTAATTGTTTGTTAATTTTAATTTGCTTTATTTTTCCTTCCTCCTTCCCGTAAAATTAATGGATTTTTAGTTTCTGGCTCGTTGTGGTATTTTCGACAACTTCATAAAAATTTTATGTAATTTGGTAGCTAATAGAAAGCTGTATCTGATCTGTTCGAAACTAATTTACTTCTCTATTTTCACTATTTCTTGTTTTGGCATTACGGTGGGGGGGGGGGGCTTTTTTTCTTGGGTGATATTTTCAAGAAAACTGAATTTAGAACATCTTATGACTATTGAAAAAAAAAAACCTGACTGCGAGGCTAGCAAGTAGAATGCGTCACCTTGAGAGTTGTTGAAGGATAGGAGCCGACGTTTGAGGATGCCAGGTTGTGATCATGGAAAAGGGGAGCCTGGTGGCGAGGCTAAAGTGTAGCATATTGTTTAGGCTAAAACCTGGGGCTGAAGTGACGTGCGGAGCATTCACCGATGTTTTGATATTTTTCAAAGACTTGGTGTTTTAGAAGAAAAAGAAGCAATTTCTGCCAACGCTGGGACACCTCCTTTCTGGTCCTCTTACTAAGATCGCACTATTTATATACTGGTGAAGACGACGAGCCCTTTGGATTTACTTGAAGGAAAAGTGATGATTTCCCTCACCAGAGAAGAGGCAGACGTCGACCGGCAGTCGTGGTCATCGGTCGTGCTGGTACTTTGTGAAGTTTTGGTGCTGTAGAAATGTGATGATGAAAAGGAAAATTAGGATGGTTCAACCGGAGAATCCGGGCCTCGAGTGTCCAACGACTTTAGAACGCATTAACTGCTTTCCATCTTTCTTTCTTTCAGATGGAAAAAGTTGAGTTTTCGAGTTTTCCCAAAGTAGATTTTGTTATAGGTATGTCGCCCAGGGAAAGATTTTCCCATCATTTCTCTAAACATGTACAGTGCTGCTAAAAAATGGCAAAACACGGAACAAAATAAGAACTGTTTCATGGATATACGTGAAATTGATCCAAGAGGTTGATGTGACAACATAGCAAACAATGAAGCAAAGACATAGAAAAACGCATGTAATACGACCATCACCTGGAGAAAAAAGAAATGGGTCGGAAGAATACATAATGGAAAAATCATACTAGTAATAGGTATGATACCCTACAGCTGAAATGCATGCCTGACAATGGCTAAGCAAGCTGATAATAAAGCCGTTGATCGCTTGCGGTGGCAGTAATACCCATTCCCGTAATAATGTATGTCAGAGTTCGTGGAGATTTCCTGCCGTCGCACTCTGACCTGCTATCCATCGTTTCAACATGTCCCATACATGCTATATGGGACTCAGGTCCGATGATCTAGCAGGCCACGGCAGATGTGGAATGGTTTTACTCTCCAGATAGCTCCATACTAGTCAAGTTCTTTGCGGGCGGGCGTTATCGTCCATAAATATCGCGTCCGTATCCATTGCAGCGGTAAAAAGACGCATAGGAGGGTGTAGAATTTCGTTGTGATATCTGACGGCTGTCGTGGAACCACTAGAAATGATGGGAGCAGAAGATCATTGCTATCAGAGCCCATATAAGTAAACCTCATTCTCTATAGTGGTCTCTTTCGACGATGCTTGGCACCCTATATCGTATCCCTGGCTCTCGCCATTTCATTCTCCTTTGGGCACTCTTCTGGATATTAAATAGATACTCATCTTACAGATGAGAGTATGTGGCCGCACAGTTCTAGTGTCCAACTGCGATATTCACAGGCCCAGTTCAGCACCGCTGTGACATGTGATGGAAACAAAGGAACACAAATCATAGATCATGGGGCGTACAATCCACCGTCATGCAGTTGGCAGTCATGCAGTGGTCGTAACCGGATTTTGAATCAGAGTTGCACTGGCCGTCTAATTTTACTGAGCCAGGCTATCTGATCAAACAATTAACACATAGACTAAAACGCAAAGAAAATCAGCGAAGTCAAAAAATAGGGAGCAAGAGGCAACTGCACCTTCACGCACCAAGTCTGAAACTCGAATAAAAGGATACAAGACTGTTCATTTAGTAGTTTAACTCTGCACAAACCATTTACTTACAGTGGATTAATAACTCAATTATAGCATTTACCTTTTTTCACAAAGCGGTATTATTTATCTTATTATGTTCAGGCACTTAGCTAGATGATTACTAACTTGTTTACTTTTTTGAATTGAATACCAGTTTATGTATGTTGTATATACTAAATTCCTAAATTAAAAGTTAGGATGACATATGTACTATACAGGCACATACACAAAACTTACATACAACAATGCCAGTATACTGTTTTGTCTGCGGCTGATGCAGCACTGGTGATATAAAACTGCACAAAAGAATTATTATGTGATTTTTTTTTTTGATAATACTAGTGCTAAAAATCACAAATTGTCGAACTGCATACTTAAGAGCATGCAAGTATATTTAAAGAATCTTAGTAAAAGTTAAAATCCCTTATGCAGTTGAATCATTATAAAAGTTCCTTACATTTACCTCGTAAAATGTGCATCATTAAAGGAACTTAACGAAAACTAAAGGACCTCACTCTGGGAACCATTATAACTTTTTCTAACTTTTATAACGTGCCTCACCTTTTTTTATTCACATAATTCGGGGGGGGAGGAAATATCCTTTAAGTAACTTTTTTCAGTTTGGACAACTCAATTAAGTAGATATTCTGAAAAATTTATGTAATATTAAATAAATATCAAAATAATCAAAGTATACCTATTGTTTTAATGAATTTTGCAGTTTCTTATTATGTCTCTTTATTATGGAGGCACCTAATAGACGAGCCACCATCGCCTCCTATGAAGGGACGGACAGTTACAACCATGCCTTCTTCGGGATTCGAACCCAGGCCCTTCGGTATCGCAGTCAGGCTTCTCTAACCACTATACCGTCTGGGTGGCATATTGATCTTAAATCGATAACATAATCACAAAGCATTCCTCATACATTTTGACAAAAATATTTACATTTTCTAACAAATTAGAAGTCATTCCTCATATATATCGATTAAAAATGCCCAATACTTTGAAATCACATCTTAATTGAAATACAATATGAATATTGCTTTATTCATTTGTCTCAGGCTTATTTATCAAGTAGAATTTTTTTTCCAGTTATGTATTTCCATTAAAAATTCATAGTCTAGCATGCATTGCATTCAGTGCTTAGTATAAATTGGTTTAGATATGAAAGAAATATATCTGAATAATCTCAAAGAAATTAATTGTAACTCTTATTCACATATGTTTGGAAACACTATTATGCATATAAAGTGCTAAAGTTTATTTGCAATAGGTTAAAAAAAGTAATTAAAATAATTATTATTGCACTTAAATATGATTTCTTCTACATCGGTGTTAATAAGTTATTATGCAAACATTATTTCCATTTAAATAATTTTTAATCATCAAAATTTCATTTAAGGCAGTTAAATTCAATTTTTATTAAGCAATAATTATCCCTTATGTGTTTCTAAATTTCCCTCTAAAAATGATATTTAGAGAGAAAAAGAAAGCAGAATTTAAGGAAACGACGGCTTCGGGGAAGAAAACAATTTGCGTTATATCTCATAACAATTAGCAAACAGTAACAGTTAGTGTGAGAAGATCGAAATGGGAAAAATAAAGCTGAAATTTCCCAGTCTGTCCCACAAAGTACTTCTAAAAACTCTCATGAATTAATATGACAGCCACTGAAAAGGGTCGCCATCTCAGGATTACACAATGGCCTAAGCGCTGAAGAAATGTGCCTTTTCCGTAGTGTCGAAGGCAGCGGGAGGAGGAAGAAAACTTCTCAATTAAGGTCAATATTGTGGGAGGACGAGAGATGGGTAGCGGGTGGAAGAGACCATTTGGCGTTATCGGCACACCTATTTGATATCGTTCGATGGGTTTTATGGCAAAGAGCTTTTACCGACTTCGTCAGAGGGTTGTAAATAATCTGCCATTGTCACAACGTTTTGTTTGTGTAGCGTTCCGCGCAGCCTTTATGGCCATTTCCCTCCATCTTTTACGACTTCATGCGACGCGATAAAAACCTCACTCTGCGAGCATAAACTGTCGAGCGTGCTGCCGTAAAACTTTTACACCACGTATAAAATTAAGTCGACGCTTTTCTAGAGCGAGTCGTAAAAATTACGAAATTTGTGAACTGCTAATCGATATTTTTAATTACTCACGAACTCCCATGACTCCTCCAAACACGGTACTGGAATTGCTGAACGTTGTGCAGTTCCACCGATTCATCCGGAACTGATGTTGGCATTCGTCGATTCCCATCTTGGCCCCACGGCCCACTGTCTGCAAGACATTTGGATTCATACCGCACAGTTCTCGCTGACGCTCCACTAAGTACTGCAACTTTCTGCAATAGCTTTGATAGGTCGTTGGCTTTAATTCGAGGCTGCTTTGGTAGGCTGCTGGCATACCCAAAAGCCTAAAAAGGAAAAAGAGCAATAACAGTCATACCAGATTCTGAATATTTTATACCAGACTTTGAATAATATTTCCTAAAGCAATATCATTTTACTTTTATAGTAACAGTAATAAGTATGACATTTGTAGCAACTGATTACACAGATAGAAGCTTAATAACAATACAAAATATGATGTAAAGATACTTATATATCCTATAAGCATATCTGTTGAACTCGGACACTTGCAAACATTACTCTATCATTATAGCGCTGTATATTTGAAATTTGCTTAAAATTACAAAATAATACTTTAAATTAAATCTCTTTTAAAAAAAGTGCTTAAAAGAAAAACAGATATCAAATATAATAAATTTTAATAGCTCTGCCTGCCTTTGAAAAAAATCGATTTTCATTATGCGGGAAAAAGGCCTAGAAAAGGAGTTTTTATTCATAAAAAGTTTTATTACTAAATGTTCGTTTATAATATTTCTATATTCCGAGTTGGCAAACCGGTCTAACACAGGAAGAATTTAATAATGATCATAATATTTAAAAGCAGTTATGTCAAGTAATCCTTTGTTGTTTCAAGAATTCCATCAGAGTTAGAAGAGAAAATACTAATGTAAAATATAAAATAAACAGTGCGCTATTTCCCCTAATTTTTATATTACCTCAGAGTGTAAACTTGATTCAATCAAAAACTAACACTTTTTGTCTCTAATCGAATAACTGAAAAAAATTAAAGTCAGCATATTTTACTTGAATGCTAATATACAGCGCAGGGATAAGGGTGAAGCAAGGAAGGCCTCAGGTGAGGGTGTACGAGAAACGTTAAATTAGCGTCAACTTTAAACTTGAAGCACTTCAAAAAAGTGACCATAAAACCATTTGGATTTAAAATATATTCAAGCAATAAATTGCGAGCGCTCTATATGCTGGGCATTGCGTTTCATTGCCAATGTTATACAACCAACAATTTAGCTTTTATTTATCATTTTTTCGAGTCATCTTCTCAGTCCATTTCTAAGTTTTTCTTTTAATCGCCCTAAATTAATCAAATAAATGCAAAATTAGGTATAAACTGATAATTTATAATGAATATCTTATGAATATCTTGCACGACTGCTTAAGATTGAGGGCGAAACGTGTCGTTCATCAGTTCCTCGCTGACTTGTTTTCGAATAATGTTTGCTGTTGATTGAGACTCATGGTTCGAGTCTTTGTCCTGTTGCATCCGTACTTTATATGCTTTCTAACTTGCACAGTTACCGACCATTAAAGGTCATGTAGAGCAGAACATGCCAATAACGTTGTTTAACTTGCACAATTATGGTTACTATGGAAATTGAAAATCATTGCTGATTTTTAAGCAAATCGCAATCTAGTTTCAGTTACTCTAAAGATTAATGTTTTATGGATTTTAAAATGCAGACGATAAATCGCAGATTCACGAATAAAGGAAATATTCTGCATCATCGGAATGGCGACAGAAGAGGATGTTCTATTGACAATCTTTTGAATGTACACAGTTAAATTTTAAGATAGAGCTTTGCAAACCAATAATATTTTTGTTTTTGTTAGTTTAAAATAAAAATGTGTGAAGGTTGACGTAAATGGTAATTTCATTTGAAGAATTACGAGAAACGTTTTCTGGAGAACAACAAATAGCAGAAAGAAATATCTTGGCATGGAAGCAATTTAAATACTAACATGTGAAGTAACAACGTTAAGACATGATTTTTCCTTTTTCTGAATTATTCTGTTGTTCATATAAAGCAACAGAAATGTTTAACATAAGAAAAATAGAAAACAAGTTTTGTAATTTGTCGTGGAAGAATATAGAAAAATGTCCTCATTAATTCTAAGTCAAATGATAATAAAAGATCATATTTTAAAAAGCTGAATTTGATTCCTCTAATTCTAAAGTAACTGATACAAAAGAACATATTTTAAAATTTCATTCCACTGATTGTAAAGTAAACAGATAACATATTTTAAAATAATCTGATTTTTTTAAAACACATGAGGCAATCGATGACGGGTGGTGGGTAGAAAGTACAAGACAACATTATATCATATTAATAATAAAGCCGTAGTTGAAAATATTAGTTAGTATATCTTCCACTGATCAAAATTTGCTTCAAGATCAAATACTTAGGAAGGACGATTCGTGAAGAAATTTCTAACAGATGCTGACTCATATTCATGTTACGCATAGGGAAAACCTACATGTAGCCAGCCCAGTCATGGGAATTCGAACGTGGAAAAAGCTACTGACCGGTCTGACTTTCTCGGTAATAAGAGATCACAAACATTAACGGTAAAACCAGAATCATAGAAATGAATATCTAGTTGCTAAGAACTGCTTTCTAAATTAAAAATATATCTCGGAATTTCGTTTTTTTTTAATATGACAAAACAGAAGATGACATCTGCTTAAGAGGAGGGATATCTTTGTGGAAAACTTTAAAAGAAAACTGACTCACACTTACGGAGAGTAGATGTTAAGTATTTTGCCACCCGGGGCGGCTTTATGGGCTCTATACTCTGCTGCCGCTGCCTCTATAAATTCTAAAAATGTTGCCCTTCCTAAATTCTGCTGTTATTTCTCTAAATTTTAAGAAATATGCCATTTCTAAATTTATCTGCTCTGTGTTTTTCAAATTTATAAAAAATTTGCCGCTCTTAAATTCTATCTTCACAGGTTGCACCGGCTCTGGCGCCTGCCTTTCATTTACACTGCACACGAATAAAGCCACGAAAAGCGTGTGCAGCGAGCCCGTTCATGGAGATATGTACTCTGTCGATCTACCATTAAGAAGTCTATTCATTTGAGACATCTACTCCCACTGGATGAAACTAAGGTCCTTCACTAAGATAAAAAAAATTAATTTATTGATATATATTAGAAATGAAGAGTTGTAAAATTATGGAGGTGTAAATTCATTGTTGTTGCAGAATTTAAACAAACGAATAGAACTATGTTTGGATAATTTTAGGAAAACTAAAAACACATTGCATTACACGAATCAACCAAATAACGCAATTTTATAAATGTTCTAAATGGAAATTCTTTTTCATAGTTCGAATTGCAGAGTATTAAATACTAAATCGAAAATACGTCTCATACTTGCGGAGCCGAACATTTTGCATAACTTCTGCGACTAGATGCAGCAAGAAAACAGATAAAACAAATAAACTTCTATTAATAAATTAATTAAATCAAGAGGTGCTTTATCATATCATAATTTTAAATTTTATATAGTATTTATGTAGCTACTATACAGTATTATTAAACGGTTGATTCTAAATTTTTTTCTCCGATTTCTGCATTTTATCAATTTCTTTTCACAGTGCTTTTTTTTTTTCTTAATTTGATAAGTTACTGTGCTCAAATAATTTCTGTATGCACTTCCCATTTTAAACTACTGAGTGAAAAAAAATAATGCTATTAAATTTAGATTACCACTGAAGGAGCTCGTAACTTAAATATTTTAATGATATAAATGCTGCAATTTCTTCAGAAACTCTTAGTTTTTAAAGCCTTTAATTGCAACAATTCAGGACACTACAGTAGTTATAAGATCTTTTCAAAATAATTCACGAATGCATTTTAGTTCCATTACACTCGAATGCGAAAATTTCTTTTATTCAGTGTTGAATTTTCTCCTTCAAGCCAAGGCTTGAAGGGATTGTTGGCATGAACCTTAGACTTTAAAACAAACCAAACTAAAATGTCCAGCGGCGTTGAATCGCAGATCTGGACTGCGAATTCTGATCACCAGAACAGGAAATTACACGACCAGGAAATGACTCATGCAGTAATTGAATTGTTTCTCGGACTGTATTGCATGTGGCACCGTTTTGCTGAAACTACATGCCTTTCACATGGTGTCCGCCGAAAACATCGCGGACGAAAACGTCGCGGAAAAAACAACGCAAGGAGAAAAACGTAGTGGAACAAAACATCGCAAAGAGAAAATATCGCAGTTCTAAAACATCGTGGTACAAAATATCGTCGTCAAAAATAAAGCGGTTCAAAAACTTTGCAGTGTAAAAACATCATCGTCAAAAATATTGTGGTAAAAAATAAAGTAACCTACAAAATCATCGCATGACGATAACATCGCACACGTGGTTTTCAGGTTTTGAAAGTTGTAAATGCATGTTCGTATAAATACCATACAGCACAAAAAGAAAAGAGGGATTCGTTTACTTCTATATTTGATATATTTGAAATATTTGAGCTAATAAATTTGTGCTGAAAAAATAAGAAGGAAAATTAATCATTTAAAAATTGAAAATGAGTGGAAAATTTATGCAACTTAAAATGCTTAATAGAATCTTACATTTATATAGTTAATTAACAAAGGTCATTAATAAACTAGGCTTTCTAAAGTTTAACTGATAAGTTTTCATGAAAAATACAGTCTAAAAATGCTTAGAAAAAGGAAGATAAATAACTGCATGAAGTTACCTGTATAAAAATTGCTTAGTTAATGATCAAATTATTTTCTTCGACATTTCTTAATTTGATATTGTTTTAATGAAAATTACATACTGTTTTGTTTCCGTTTATTCGTAAAGTGTCGTTAACATTTTCATGTATAGCGTGCAATCAATTGTTTGGATATCGATTAGTTAGTTAGAAAGTCAGTTACGTAATATGTCACTATGCGATTTGAAGAACGCATGTATGCGATGATTTGTAGGTACTTTATTTTTTACCACGATATTTTCGACGACGATGTTTTTAAACTGCGAAGTTTTTGAACCGCTTTGTTTTCGACCACTATATTTTGTACCGCGATATTTTAGAACTGCGATCTTTTCTGTTTGCGATGTTTTCTCCCACGATGTTTTGTACCCCGACGTTTTCCCCTTGCGTTGTTTTCTCCGCGACGTTTTCGTCCGTGATGTTTATGCCGCGATGTTTTCGGCTGTAACCCTTTCACATCCATCTTGAAATTTAATCGCACAAAACTGGATTGCCATTGTCTCGTTAACGGGCACCATTAGC